GAAGTAGGGATGGAGCGAAGTGGGGATGGAGCGAAGTGGGGATGGAGCGAAGTGGGGATGGAGCGAAGTGGGAATGGAGCGAAGTGGGGATGGAGCGAAGTGGGGATGGAGCGAAGTAGGGATGGAGCGAAGTGGGAATGGAGCGAAGTGGGAATGGGGCGAAGTGGGGATGGGGCGAAGTGGTTAGGGGCGAAGTGGCATGGGAGTTAGACTTCAGTTTCGCTGGTTCCAGCCATTTTGAAGCAGCGTTGAAAACCACTTGTTCAAGCTGTGACTGGAACCAGTGAAACTGAAGTCTTAGCCGCAGGCCGCGACAATTTTTTTTTTTTTTTAGCTTGCCTGATCGGGCAGGCCATGCCATAAATTTGCTTGCCCAAATTAGATCAACACTTGCCCAAGATTTCTCGGAATCCACGATTATTATGGTTATGTAATTTAGGCCTACTGCATGCATGCAGTCTTTTATTAGGCCCCAAAATAGTTGTGCTTCCAATTATATGCCTCTTAAAAATAGGGTCGGTAGGTTGGAAATTTTTTTGGGTCAATTTTTTTGTCCTGATTGAATGGCATTAACGGGGACAGCAGCTTCCAAAATTATCTCAAAAGGTGATGAACACCTGTCTTAATCTATGTAAAAATTTTACAGGCGACAATTCACAAGAGTTATGGGCAATTCACACAGTGTGACTCAGGCAATCACGATGGCAAACTGGCCAACAATGTATCACGTGGTAAGCATGCATGAGGTATCCAGACCAGTGAGAGAAAAACCTTGTGCTGCGGCAGGAAATTTGTTGAAAGATGCTCGCTTCAAGTACGAGCAAAACAAACTCAAATTAAACTCATGAACACAGAAAATAAATAAGAGTCATAAATAAGAGACCAAGTTCTGTAAAGGAACTTGCAGAAAACCTCTTGCAACATCTATTTTTTTTTTTACCTGTGGCTTTAGGGTTGCTTGCATGTATGGCCAATGTAGAGTAATCGACCGTTAGGAGTCAAGTTAGGAGTGAAAAAAAAAAGTTATTTGCTTACATGCTTACAAGCAAAAAACATTTCAATTTTTTGAGATTAGTTTCATAGGGTTTGTGCACAAGGCGTCAAGCAGCGTCCATGTATGGAACTCTTTCCTTTGTTTGAAGTACATTGTACATGTACATACCTGGAGACGGTGTTATAAGAAACATTTTATTATACCATACATGTACAGTTTTGTTTCCATCAGACTCTGCAAAGCAGAGAAATATTGATTTAAAGCAGGCATATTTTGAGATGTTTTGGAATGTATTTTGTGTAATGCAGAGCAAACTCATTTGTCTGTTTGTTTTTGTATGTACACAAATGGGTGTATGGATTTTGACTGAAAAGCTTAAAAATGATATGTTCATGAAGTGTTTGTTCTTATTCGTGCTTTAAGCAATGAAATAATTGCTGGCTTCATTCGAAATTTTAAAAAGTTTGAAATTAGAAATTAAATAGAGGAGCTAGAAAAATTTTAATCATAATTTCAAATTAACATAATTAAAGAAATTGAGTTGCAATGAACATGGGGTCTTAATGCTACATGTTTTGCATTAACTGATCTGGTAACGCAAACTCCACTGTTTCAATCAAATTTTGCCTTGAGACCAACTGTGAGATATATGCAGCTCATGAATGGTTTTAGACCATGGGACCAAGTATTTTTTTAAAAGCATACATGTACATGTAATCAAAATAAGATCTGTTTACAGTGTAACCAAGCAGGTTTGTGAAATTTGTTTCCAAACTTCAAGTTCAATGGCTTACACTGAAATGTTATTCTACACTAGTCCCAAATAGACAGTTTTGAAACTTCTTGAACTGCAAGCACAATGCCAAAGTTTCTGGTCGTTTTTCAAATTGTTAGTGTTATTTTTACACTGAATGATAACACCACGTACATGTACATGTACTTGAGTTGAGGTGTGAATTTTGTCATTCTGACAAAATACCTTTGATAGTCACAAATGTTGCTTTTTATTTGGGGAAAGAGTGTACTCGTGTAATACTCACACCAAGTGGAAATATTGTCCTAATGTACTCGTATGTGTCTCATTCAGGTGAAATCAGCCAGACAAGACATGAAAGAGCCTCCCATCCTCACCGGCCACTTCCAGCCCGACTCCAAGTACTGGTGCTACATGTGTGCCTGTGAGGTGGACAAGCATGTGACTGACGGGGAAGTCACTGTCAGACATGCTGGCTTCATTGAACATCTCATGAGGTCATTATGGATTGAATTCATGTTCAAGCATCAATTAAAACTGTTAAAAAAAGAATATTCGATCTCGGTAAAGTTTAAACAACTTGGAAAACTTTTTGTGGACATTGCATGAGTTAATGTATTTCATAAGAAAGATCCTGGACCGAGTCGCCATTATGTACACTTTCCTATTCAAATCATGCCACCAGACTGCATAAAAATCTCTGTCTTGTCCCCAAACTTGAAATTTTGCTTGTCTGGCCAGCTGGAAAATTGAATTTCATCCCAAGTAAATCTCATGATGATGAATACAGTGAGATCAGTATTTGCTGATGTAAGCTTTTACTTTCCAAACGTGATACGACGAGGCATGCTAGGGCACATATACATGTACATGTACACAGGTGTCCCTCTGACTTGCTTCCCTTAAACCACCAAACAAGGTCTTTGTAGTTCAGGTAGTGTAGAGTAATTCCACCAGTAGAAGCTATTACTGCGGTGGCACAACGCTCGTGGACAGGTGGTACGTGCGCGTTACGTGCCTCTTCGACCAATGGGGGTCGTGATTTGCGAAATGCACACATGCGTCAAACTGAAGGATGTGCGTGTGAGTGCAGTACCACTGGAGTTGTGACATCTAATCATTGAGAACCAGAACCAGTAGATGCCTCACAAACGAATGGAGTATGCTCGTGTGTTGGTTCGAGCGCGGATACTCTTGCTAATGCTTTTTACACACATAAGTGTGCGTGTGACGTATTCACTTTGGCACTCTATGTACCTGCACATGTAGAGCACTGGTGTGGTGTTCCAGAAGATGCAGACCGGTTCACTCTGTTCAACATCAGGCGCTGGCAATGAACTATTCAAGAACTCTAGCAATTTTTGACCACAGTGCCGAGCATGCTCAGAGGCTGGACCGGTTCTGGCGGATCAATCGCATCCAGACGGACCTTCAGACCAAGTTCGTCTTCCCGAACGATGCCCGGGATAGGTACAAGAAAGCCGTAGAGGAAGCCTTGAGGAAGTATGAGGAGAATGAAGAACATCTCTTGTCACAGGTAGACAACGATCTTTACTTGTCCCTAACTTTCCAAACACCTGTGCGGTTAATGAGTTTACTTGATTGTTGGAAGAATAACCATATGCGGATGGCACTTGACACCCTGTGCACAAATCCTATTCGACTGGTCTGAAAAACTGTAAGTGTTTTCTCAGTAAACGACTTCGTATTTTCCCTCCTAAGTTGAACTTTCCTGGACGTGATTTTGCTTTCTGATGGCTAAAGTCACTGTGGGGAATAAATACTGGCATCCACATTTATGGAACTCTTCCCTAACCCAACCTACACCAGTCCATGCCAAATCGGACAAAATCAGGATGCCTCCCATGTGACCCAAGTCCATAAAAATTCAATTGAATGATACAAAATTGAAGACTTAAGTTGTCAGTAACAACCCTCCATGGGACGCTCTAGGATGATTTACCAGTAGTAGGAGAACCTTTCTCATCCTTGCCCATTCCGGCATCATGTAGCAAACTGTGCACATTAACAATTGAACTATGTTTGTTTGTGGTATGCTTAATCCGACATGAAACACAGCCAGTGTTCTATTGCAGTACTCATCCCAATGGATACCAACAGGCCCTGGGTTTTATTGGAGTTTGGCCGGTTAGGGCTCATCGGGTTAAATTAAAAGGTCATTGTAGTACATGTACATGTAGCGGCCTTCTCACCAATTTCCAGCTTTGCATCTTTATTGGAATAGAATTTATAGACCCTTAAAGATGCTGCTAAAACAGACAAGCAGTTCTGGGGTGCCAACAAGTCTCGTTGCACCCAAAATTCTGGGGCAATATCAAAACAATCAAACAATGTAGATGTTGTTTTCTTTCATGTGGTACACGTATGTCAAGTTATTAATGAAGACATTTTTCAGACCAATCTGAGTTGGGTTTATATAGGAGGGTGTTTGAATTGACCCTGTTACCACACTCATCTGTTCCAATTTTTCCCTTTTAAACTTCAAGTTTTTACTTACCAAACTGTTGAACAGACACTGAGCTTGGGTTTGTAAATATTTGCCAATGAAAGAAGAGAAACAAGCAGTTCTAAAAGAACAGTGTTGTTTAAGCTGTCTTTACAGCATAATGGATAACGTCCACTCACACTTGTCAACAAAAATGGTTTTAGTTCTGTCGTGTTGTTACGTTGTCCAGTGCAATGCTTGATTTGTTTTGTTAAAGAATTTTTTCACTATTAAATTTTTTTGTACATTCTTCAGGACCCTTTGGACTGATTAACTCTCCTATGCTGAAGTCACTCTTTGGGTCATTTGGTGAATACCTCAAT